CTGTATTCCATCAGGATGCGAAACCCACAAATACAGTGGTTTGACTCGGTATCTGCAGGTTCCAGAGAATTCCTCAGGGACTTCAGCATGAGCAGATTTGGGTTCCTGCGGGTAGTCCTGGAGCTAAGCTCCCATGGACACTGTGGGCCGACTGTATAAGCCTTTAGAATGTAGCAAATACCACAAACCATGGAGCAAAGCAATAGTTTCCCAGGGACGGAGTAGCACCGTTTTGTTGGTTCTTGGAGATCTAGACTTGGAGTTATCACAAAGAGAAGCCACTATTTCTAAACTTGGAGAACCTTGTCATAAACTTTATTCTTGAAGGACTTATACAGTTTTTTTTTTTGGCAGAGGGTAGGTTGGAGGTAGGAGTATCAGTACCCTACTGGAGAAACTTTCCTGAGCAGGCAACTGAAATCATTGTGAATCGAACATGTATAATCCTAGCTGAAATAACATGTAAAGCTTTGCAATTATTTTAAGGATGTGTTTATTTACAAGATACAAATGTTTAATATTTAATAGGAATTAAAGTGCTTAATTTTACGTTTCCAATTATCTGCTTTTATGACCAAATATACATATGTTACACAATATATACATTATCTGCAAGTATTTTACATTCATATAGCTAGAAAAGAAAAATTACTTGTGTATACTTTCACACTGGAGTCAACTGTAAAATTCCAATAACATACATTCTCAAACTTATCAGTCAAGGATTCAAAAGAAAAATCCAGATATGCTTATTTTATTTTTTTGAGTCAAAGTCTCACTCTTTTGCCTAGGCTGGAGTGCAGTGGCACAATCTCGGCTCACTGCAACCTCCGTCTCACAGGTTCAAGCGATTCTCCTGCCTTAGCCTCTCAAGTAGCTAGGATTACAGGCGTGTGCCACCACACCGGGCTAGTTTTTATATTTTTAGTAGAGACAGAGTTTTGCCATGTTGGCCAGGCTGGTCTCGAACTCCTGACCTCAGGTGATCCACCCGCCTTGACCTCCCAAAGTGCTGGGATTCCAGGTGTGAGCCACTGCGCCCGGCCCAGATATGCTCATTTAAATTTTTTTAGTAGAGACAGGGTTTCACCATATTGGCCAGGCTGTTCTCGAACTCCTAACCTCAAGTGATCTGCCTCCCTTGGCCTCCCAAGTGCTGGGATTACAGGCATGAGCCACTATGCCTGGCTTATGCTTATTTTAAAATGGCAATTGTCACTCACAAAATGAAATGCTAGTTTGGTTTAAAAAAAAAAAAAGTCTTATATACAGACAAGACTGTTTTGCTCATGGAGAGAACCCGCCCCCCAAGTGATACATTTCAATATCCACATACTGTGTAATATATAATGCAATTCTCTTATAATGGTCCCCACAGACTAGTTTCTTCCCAAACCTATATTTCACTATGTATTTGGTATTCACTTATTAAAATATGATATGAGATTTCTTGATTTACATTTTTCCACTAAAACTACCACAATGAATTTTAGGAAAAGGGGTTGACCATCATACCCAGTGACCCCAACAAGTTAAAAACTATCTTGGAGAAGCCATGTGCTATTTCATCTCAAAACACAGGAAAAGATACTGCATTCTGCCAAATGCTAAGTCCAGAAAGTAGAAGACCATGACTGACTTCAGATATTTTTTTTTTTGCCTTAGTAAACAGTACAGAAAATGATCTGAGAATGAAATTATTTTTTATAAGCCCAAAAGACTCAAATAAAATAATGTTCTGGTTGAGTTAAAAAAAAAAAAAAAAAAAAAAAAAAAAAAAAAAAAAAAAAAAAAAAAAAAAGCCCAAAAGACAAAAAGAATAACAAAATATAGTCTATAATTTACAGGCCAAGGTAAAAAACCTGGGTGCAGTGGATCCCATCAGCATGTAATTACATAGATTTATATTTTATATCCCTTCTGCAGTTAAAATATTTCCTCTTAAAATACATTGCTGTGGTCTGGAGACCAGCAGTCTCTCCTCTCATCTCTCTTCATTCTTGCTTGTTTCAGTTTCTTATCTTATTCTTCTCTGCCCTATCTGTAATGAAAGCAAAGTTATCTTCTCATGACTACGTGATTAAGGGGCATATATAAGGATGAATTATACATAAAGATCCATGTAAATAATTTATGTTAAAATATTTAAGTTAAACAATTTTGATAGAAAAATTTCATTTCTATGGAAAGACAGAAGTGCAAATCAACAGTGTTTTTACATATATACAAATATGTATAAATTCACAGAAAGGGTTTTGTAAGTTGACCTAGTGGTCTTTATGTATCATAGTCATTTTCTAAAGCTGAGAATCTATAGTAGATAATAGTATGAAAATAACAAGTAGTTTGATTCTAATAAAACTGATAAGAATGAGGAAGCAACATGATCCACTACACATGTCAACACAGTCCGAAGAACAGGAACTGGCTGGCCACAGTTCACATACTAATACATTCTTGGAGAATACAAAATTTAAGAATGAAAACATTAAGACATTCTTGCCTTTTGAGTTAATTTTAGCTTATAAATATCATGTGCTTAATCTCAGACCCACAAACATAAACATCATGTGATACAGGAAATCTTTGTGAATCTACTCTGCATCAGAGCAAAGATACCTGTAAAAACTAAGACGTTTGTTCCCTAGAGGTTTACTTTCTCCTGTTGGTGCTTGCTACTCAGGATGTATCTAGTCCAGAAAGACCATCAGAAATTTCTCACAGACAATATGCTCAGATTAAGAACTTAAGGCTTTGAATATAACCAGAAAACAAACAAAAGCAACCACCCTGTTTGCAAAAAGTAGGGACAAGGAAAAGTAAAACAAAATTGTGAACTCACAGAAGTATTTTTGATAAAAGTTTTTAGAAGGCATCAAAGAATCGTTAACAACCCTGCAGTACCACAAACTATCGTTTTCTTTATACATTTATAACTAGAACAAGGGCTCTTAAAAAAAAATCCAAATGTGTGTGTATATATATGGGGAAAGGGTACATTTAAAAGGTTAGTTTCTGTAAAAAGTTTAAAAAATTGGGGTAAGTCACCTAGTGAAGATAAGTACACAAACCTGATGTCAAATTAAACTTCACGGAAAACAAAATGTGCTTTGTCCATTTTCTTTGTTAAAGTAAAAATGTTCTTAATAGTTATTTAGAATCCAAGGAATGATGCCCCTTCCCATTTCCCTTCTTTATATTCCACAATTTGAATTACCATAACACATCTAGAAAGCTAATAATTCTCTATGTCCTTGTGGCAAGGGGCCTTCATATTAAATTTTCAGTATAAAACCATACCCTGAAGAGTTTTATTGCTTGCATACATGATGACACTGTGGATGCCATTATTACAAAAGTGGCTGGTGTTTTTTCTTATCAAGCCCCACTTAAAACCGAGATAAAAGTCTGCAGTATATTTCACACTTAACTTGCCAAATGGTAGACTTTCAACAAAAGCAGAATTTAAGCTTAAAATATTGGAAAGTTTTATAATGTATAGCAATTTTGTCAAGGAAGTACTTTTTAAAGTTTGGAGGAAGGGCACTTTAAAGAAAAGATGACTTGGAAAGCACTGAATGAGTGAAAATAAAGAATTAAGACCAACAGGGAAGGCTGGTTTTAATGGGAAAGCAACTAATGATCTGTTTAGGTTCAGTTTGTCATGGCTGCTCAAATATCTTAGAAAGGAAAAGGTATTGATTATTCTCATCATCACTCACATTTTGAGGTCTTTTGGATGAATTGTTTAATAAATGGCTAAGAGTATTCCTTTACCTTTCATTGAGTAAAAACACCAGTGATTCTTTAATAAGAGAGAAGCGGGTAAGGCTGTTTCACTGCTTCTCTTTGTGTTTAGCTGAAGAATGTGGGGTGGAAACTGAATATGGTGACTGGAAAACTGGAAATTCTCTTCTAGTACTAATGATTCTCATTTAAAAAATTAAAGGTAGCCGGGCGTGGTGGCTCACGCCTGTAATCCCAGCACTTTGGGAGGCTGAGGTGGGCGGATCATGAGGTCAGGAGATTGAGACCATCCTGGCTAACACAGTGAAACCCCATCTCTACTAAAAAAAAAGAAAAATTAGCCAGGCATGGTGGCACACGCCTGTAGTCCCAGCTACTCAGGAGGCTGAGGCAGAAGAATTGCTTGAACTCAGGAGGCAGAGGTTGCAGTGAGCTGAGATCGAGCCATTGCACTCCAACCTGGATGACAAAGTGAGACTCTGTCTCAAAGAAAACAAAACAAAACAAAACAAAAAAACAAAATTAAAGATAATGACTGTTAACAGCATGATAATAAACATTATCTTTACGTGAATATTCTTTCAATGATCTAAGTTAAATAACATTGATATTTATTGAGCCAAAACTTAAGTGTGTTTATATTACTTCTGTAGGGAAAGTGTAGTCTTCTTGCTTTTAAAAATAGTTTTCAAAAATAATCTGACTCATAAATCTTCCCACTGGCCCACACATTACCATTGTTCTATCCACACTTACAAAAGTCATCTTCCCCTGCTTATCATTCTATATTTCCATTGCTTCTCTTTACTTGAGATTAAGAAAACCAAAGGATCATTTATAGCATAATTTTCTAAAAAACCACTCTGAGTATATATCACACACACACACCATTGGCCATTAAAAAAGAGAAGCAATGTAAAATTTCTTTTAGTCTTTCTCTGATTTAATAGGGCCTAAGAAGCTACTTTTATCTCTTTTTGGCTCCATGTATTTGGTTTAATGTTAATGATCATGGCTGATATTCCTTTTATGGAGGAAGTGAACCTAATTATGTCAGCAATAATTGATTCACTTGCTCCTATGGGGTGGAAAAAATAAGATATTTCTTAAAGTAACAAGGCCTGAATAAATGTGTGGCAGTCTCAAATTCTATTCTACCCCTAAGGTGTAATCCTTACATACTAAAGATAGTGGGGTCATTCTTAGAGATTTCTAGCAGACTGGTACATTAAAAAGTGAGAATGTTTGGGGTATGACAATATAAAAAAATGTTTAATTTGAGAAAAGGATTAAGTTAAATAGTAAACTTAGTGTGAGATTTTAATCAGAGGTACAACACAGTGTAGCGCAGCCTTCATGACAAGGAATCATGTGACCAGCCCCTGCCCCAAACATGGGTTATCCCAGGTGGATTTTGTTTCATTCTGACAAAGGAATGGGCCACACAGATCTTAAGTGTTCAGTATATAGAGGGTCCTCATTTAACCATGCTTGACTACCTTATGGAAAAGAAAAACATTACAATGAACGTGGGTTCCACATATCCTAGTTCTGTAAAAGGGTCGGGTGTCTCCTAAGTTTGGGTTTTGGTGAAAATTTCTGTACATGCTGATGTTAACTACTGCAACAATTTTAGGATCATAAAAGGTAAAACAACCTACATGACTTTGACTGTCCCAGTGACTGAAATGCACTTTAATCTTAAAATAATCAAGACTGAAGCTTATAACTGAACCCTCATCTTACATTAATAGCACCTTCTAAGAGAGGCACTGTTTTAAATAGGCACAGAAACAAAAGATGGTACTTTAAAAGTACTGTTGGAATTCACAAATATATCCCATGCCACATAAATTACCACTTATAAAAATATCAATACCCTCAAATGCCAATCAGTTAAACATAAATCACCAAAACATTTCTTCAGTTTAGAACATTGCTGAATTCCAAGATAAACCATGCTTTATATTTAAAAAATAAATTAGAAATGAATGTGAACCCAAAGCTAAAGAGAAAAGCATGTATAGTATATATATATATATTTAATACTATATATACATAATTACTATATACTTAAGATATTCTTAGAAGTATTTCTACAAAACAAGTTCTCTTTTCTTCATAAATTGAAAATCTGAACACCAACAATTGTCCTTTTTGTTTTAAAAGAACAGACACCATTTATGCAGCTAGAGATTTATAAACTAAATTAAATAAGTTAATACAATAGCCTAAACTGTCCCTGTATTTTTCACCGTGGATCTATTTTGGCAACATGGAGGTATATCTTTCAAACTGTTACAGGTCCTACATGTGAAAGAGAAGAACATATTAAAGGATTTCTTAAATGAAAGTGCTCATTCTAACCTGACAGTGACAGAATCAACTGATACCATTTTCTTCAAGACAAAAAAGCACATATTCAAGGAATAGCTCAAAAAATGATCCAGTTTTCACATTATTTCAAAACTTTATCGGTAGAATGACTCTGTACACTACTTTCGTTAGGAGTACATAAACATAGGAAAATAGTCCTCAACTGATGCATTTATGAGCCTGTATTCTTCAACATAAAGTGCTAGCAGATGAGTATGAAGAGCTGGGAATGTCTTGAGCTTTACATCTTGAGACCTCTGCACTATGGCTGGTCCTGGATGAGTTCAGCATTCTGATTTTTTCTTAGGTTCAGGATGATCATCCAAGGTGCCTGGATGCTCATTTGGACCATCTGGTGTCTCACCTGTGACAGCTAAAAGGATGACTTTCAGCCATTTATGCTTCAGTTCCTCGCTGTCTGCAGCAAAGCTGTGCACAGACTTAGACTGGGTCAGTTTGAAACTGTGTGGCAGGTCTGCACTCCGTGGCATGTCATCTACCACATAGCCCAGAAGTGGAATGGTGGCCTGGGCTCTGACGTCCTAAAGAAAAAACACCGGACATTAAAAGCAGGAGATGTATTTGCTTGCTAAGGGTGTCCCTTGTTGCTACTAAACCTTTCTTCCTACCACTGTCCCAACCAGACTCAAACAGTAAGTTCTCCGTGGGCACGGCGGGTAATCCCGTTGCTTGTCACAGAGCCTGTACGCGAGGCCACTGATAATGTTAGTTGAATGAATGAGAGCTGACACCTAAATCAACTAGGGCTCAGAGACACTAAACCCTCCTCTCTGTGAAAGAGCCCGTTCAACTCTTCATTCAGTGAAAAGGGGAAGAAAGCAATCACCATCATACTGTATTAAACCAGCAAACATGAACGATAATCTCATTGCTAAAGGCAGTTTTATCTGGTGAATCGTTCATTCCCTCTTCAACTTATTTATGCACATGGAAGGCTTATAGGAAAAGCAATAAAGGAAAATAAGCTATATAGCCTGTCATTTTTAGTCTATTTTCAAAATAAAATAATTTTTACCAGCCCTTAATATATATAAGAAAATACAACAGGTATATTTAAATTTTTTATATTTTCAGAGTAAATGCATAACTGGTTTAAGTATTGTACATTTGATTCTTCAAGCACAACACAATCATAGGACCTGGTGCTGCTCTTGTTAGAAGCTAAACCTGCATATCATTGTTCCCATAGATTTATCTCAGATCCACATACATGGGATTCTTAAAAAAGCTGTTATTGAATGATAGCACAAGATGGATTTTAAGTTACCCATCCTCTCAAACTTCTTTTTCAGATATCTATCCATTAAGCAACAAATAAAATAAAAAACAAAATTGGCTGAGCGTGGTGGCTGATGCCTGAATTCCCAGCACTTTGGGAGGCCAAGGAGGGTAAATCACCTGAGGTCAGGAGTTTGAGAGTAGCCTGATCAACATGGTGAAACCCCGTCTCTACTAAAAATATAAAAATTAGCCAGATGTGGTGGCGAGCCTGTAATTTCATCTACTCAGAAGGCTGAGGCAGGAGGATCACTTGAACCCGGGAAGTGGATGGTGTAATGAGCCAAGATCATGCCATTGCACTCCAGCCTGGGCAACATGAGTGAAACTCCATCACACACACACACACACCACAACAAAAACAACAACAAAATCAGAGTCTTTTCTTGATGTTTCCTGTCATTAAAAAGGCTTGTTTCCCCTCCTCTTTATACTCATTCCTAATTCTATTCTTTTCCCAAACCCAAAGAAGGAGAGAAGAGAGGGATAGACAATTCAGACTGAAGAAAATATGGGCTATAAAATGAATCCATCAGCTTAAACAACAAACTTGAACTTTACTCATTATTTTTCAAATTTAATGAAACAGTGAAACTCTTGTTCTACAGATTTTGAGTCCACTGTCCACTTGCTTCCCCCTGCCCCCAAGGGCATCTGTCCCTTCGGACAGATGTGGTTAGATACCTGGGGGGCACCATACATGTACAGCACAAGGGGGTCTTGCTTGGGGATCACACACCAAGCTTTCTGCCAAGGTTTCGACTTCTCCATATACTGAAGAAAGCTGCACACCACACTGTTTCCAGATACTTCTGCTGATTCAATCTGGAAAAATATAATGGAAAGAGAGAGAATAAACACACAACGAACCAGATAAAGAAATCATTCAACTAAAGGGAAATATTCACAAAGTAGGTGTTTATATAAAATGTCTCCCTGGGCTATCCAAAAAAGATTCATGTGCAATTATTGTTAAAACGTTTTAACATGGAAAACATTTAAGCCAATTTTAGCTCTTTGTATAAATAGACCTTGAATTTAAAGAGTCAAATATTTATTGACTGCTTATCATGGAAGCACTTTTCTTAGCTCAATACACGTATTATTTCATTTAATCCTCACATCAACACTGAGAAGTTAGTATTTTCATTTTCTCTGAGGCTCAGAGTTTAAATAGCTTTCCCAAGATCACACATTGGCATGCTAGGATTCGAACCTAGAGAGTCTGGATCCAGAGCCTGAACTCTGATCCTCTGCCTCACCCTCCCAAGTAGCTGGGAGATAATTTTTACATTTTTTTGTAGAGACAGGCTCTTACTATATTGCCCACACTGGTCTTGAAGTCCTGGCCTCAAGCAATCCTCCTGCCTTGACCTCCTAAAGTGCCAGGATTACAGGCGTGAGTCACTGTGCCCAGACCAGAGCCTGAACTTGTAACGACAATGCTATACCTACTTTAACTAAGAAAGAATATAATAGCAAAAACGCAAACAGCAACCAGCAATCTTTGTTTGAGTACGCTGAATTAAAAACTTTTTCAATGCAATCCATTTTTGTAGAGTGGTATGGTTAGGCCTTGTGTCCCCAGCCAAATCTCATCTTGAATTGTAATCCCCATAATCCCCATGTGTCAAGGGAGAGGTGGAAGGGCGGGTAGTATCCCCCATGCTGTTCTCGTGATTGTGAGTTCTCATGAGATCTGATGGTTTTATAAGTGTCTGACAGTTCTTCCTTCCTATACTTGCTCACTCTCATTTGCCACCAGGTAAGATGTGCCTCTTCTCCTTTTGCCATGATTGTTAGGTTTCCTGGGTCTCCCCAGCCATGTGGAACTGTGAGTCAATTAAACCTCTTTTATTTATAAATTACCCAGTCTTGGTTATGTCTTTATAGCAGTGTGAGAACAGACTAATACATAGGCCCGTTTAATTTTTCTGCTTTGCCTCGTAATATAAAAATTTTTGGTTAAAAGGCCAGGTGTGGTGGCTCACACATGTAATCTCTGCACTTTGGGAGGCAAAGGCAGGTGGATCACTTGAGGTCAAGAGTTCGAGACTAGCCTAGGCAACATAGCGAAACCATATCTCTACTTAAAAAAATGAACAAACAAAAAATTAGCCAGGTGTGGTGGCACACATCCATAATCTTAGCTACTCAGGAGGCTGAGGCATGAGAATTGCTTGGACTGGGGAGGCACAGGTTGAAGTGAGTCGAGATCACACCACTGCACTCCAGCCTC